GTCCTTTTGCAGCGTAGCGTGGTCGACGACGCCACTGAGGGTGCGGTGCAGCTCGTTCCTCATCTGCGCGAGCTCCTCATCTCTCCTCTCGAGACAAGCTCGAAGCCGGCGCTCTTTGCGGGTCGAGTTGTCAGGACGCTCCTCCGTCGAGCTCGCTGCATCCTGCTCTGGAGGGTCGTCCATATCCTCGTTGTCTGAATCATCTTCCTTCTTGACAACCAGAATGATGTGGAGCTGTGCCTTGCGCGCCTTGACAGCGTCTTCACGCTCCTTGAGCCCCTTCTCGCGCTGCACCAGTTCGTGAGCGTGACGAAGCATGTCCAAGCACTGCTCCTCATCTGCGCGAGCTCCTCATCCCTCCTCTCGAGACAAGCTCAAAGCTGGCGCTCTTTGCGGGTCGAGTTGTCAGGACGCTCCTCCGTCGCGCTCGCTGCATTCTCTTCTGGAGGGTCATCCTCGTCGTCTGATATTCCTTCTTGACGACCGGGACGATGTGGAGCTGGGCTTCGCGCGCCTTGACAGCGTCTTCACGCTCCTTGAGCCCCTTCTCGCGCTGCACCAGTTCGTGAGCGTGACGAAGCATGTCCGAGCACTGCTGACCTCGTTGAACTGCTTCGGTTTCGCGCGCCTGCACCTGGGCAAGCGAGTTGTGGTACGTCTCCAAGTCGGCGCAGAGATCAATTTCGCGCCTTCGAAGCACACCGAAAGCCTGCTGGTGGCTTTGCACCTCCCTGGCGAAGTCGCTCTCGCGTTTCTTCATCGTAGCTTGGAGATCAGCGGCAGATTTCTGGTGCAAAGCGATCTCGCATGCCAGACTATTCTCACGCTCTTGTACTGCCTGCAAGCGAGAGAACAGTTCTTCTGCGCGACTTTGCAGCTGACCATCCTGTTGCTCCACGATGCTTTGTCGAGCTTGGACGCCCTGCTGCTGTTGAACCAACTCGTGTCGCTGGCACTCGAGACTCTGATGCTGGCTGGCAAGCTCAGTGCGCGTTTGAGCAAGCACCTGTTGGTGCTCACGAAGATCGTCTCGTTCTTGACAAACAGTCTCTTCTTGCTGGCGAAAAGCCTCTTGTTGTCCCAAAAGAGCTTCGTGGTGCTGACGAAAAGCCGCTTGCTGAGCTTGCAGAGCTTCCCCCTGCTGACGAAGAGCCTCTTTCTGCTCATCCAGAGCGCGCTGCTGCTGAGCAAAGTCGTTTTGACGACATGTGCGGTCCCGCTCTTCCTGGGCCTGCTGCTCAATCAGATCGTCCTTGCGCTCTTTGCGCTTTCTGGACAGCTTGTTGTTGAGACGTTTGTCGAGCGTCTCTAGACCTCCATCGGACGCAAGTTGCTGGACGCGTGCATATGCCGCTCTAGCTGCTTTGTGCTGAGCCAGACTTTGCTTTGTGGGCTGCGTGGTTGTGGTACGGAGGTCTGAACCAGGTTCTTGCTCCTCTGGGTTAGTGGCGTGAATTGCTGATTTGCTAGTGGCATCGACCGCCTCACGGCGAGCGTCGCGCCTGATTGATTGGGTCTAGCGCCAGCTGGCATGGTGAATGTGACAGAGACTGCGCCAGGGGTGAAGTGACGGAGACGAAAGGGTTACGCCAGGGGTGAAGCAACGGAGGAGAGTTGGCTGCGCCAGATAAGGTTTTCAGAAGCTTTTGCGAGTCTGCACTTGAAGCCTTATTAGACAGTAGCTCAATCAGGGAGGGATGAGGATCTCTGTGGAGGGTGTGAAAGCGTGAATACTGGGTAGTGATGCATTTTCCTGGATTTGGCCGAAGTGTTGCAGCTTGGTCTGTCATTGCTGTGGTTGCGGTTGTTACATTTGGCTCTGTTCCCAGAGAACAAAGTTGGCAGGCTGATTGTGAGTTGAGTCTTGAGCTCCTGCCTCCTGAGCTTGAAGGAGACATTCAATTCCACCTCACAAGCCTCTTTGTACCTGTTGAATTGTTCTTGCCAATCTTTTTCCTCCCTCCAGCGCTCCTTACTGATTATCACCTTGGCTTTGTTGAACAATCTTACTTGAAAGTCTTGCTTGCATTTCCATGCAACTGGCATACAGCTTTTGCCACATCTCTGCAAGTGGCTTGTCCTGTGCATTGGTGAGGCTCTGCGCTTCTACAGGAGCTACAAAGCTTGACGCCTTGTGCCTTGGATGATATATTTGATTGGGATGGAACGCTTCCCAAGGAAGCAACTGGGAACCTGGGAAGTGAAGTCCAAAGAAAGCCTCCGTTTAAGCCAACACAACTGGGATGGAAAGCCCCCTAAGGGTCTGCAAACCTTGACATGTTGTACCTTACATGAGTACTCTGGTTGGGATGCAAGGCCTCCAAAAGGGGCCATCGGGAGCTTGGGAAGTACAGTCCAAAGAGACCCTCTCACTGGGCAAGCACATTCTCCTGACATAATCAGAAGTCTACAGCATTGCAACTTGTTCTACCATTGCTGTAGTTGTGCCATTCAGCTCTTTCCTCAAAGAGCACAGTTGGCATGGCTATCACAGAGCTGAGTCTCGCTCTCCTGCTACCAGGGCTGAAAGGACGCATGCAGCTCCATTTCTTGTGCTTCTTTCCATTTATCCTGCCACTCCTTTTCTGCCTCCATGCACTCCTTCCTGTTTGTCTCTTTGGGATTGTTCAGACAGTATTGGCTGAAAGTCTTGCTCATGCTTTTTGTGCAATTGGCAGAGGTCTTTTGCCACATCTCTGCAAGGTGCTTGTCCTGAGCAACAATCAGCCCCTAAGCTTCTGTAGGGTCTGCAATTTTCAGATGAGAAGTCTTATTGATATTCAGAGCCTCCTAACGGTGCAATTGAGCAGGTCAAGTGCCAATTGGCATTTCGATCACCACAAAGAAATATGAGGTGGGCCAAATGTAAATGGAAGGCAAGTCTACACGCGGCGGTAACTCATGTGTGAACTTGACACGCAGTGAGCGGAATGTGAAGGCAGAATCGAGTGCGGAGTGTCGAGTGTGCATGAGTGATGGTCTTGTGTTGATTGGCCTCCACCGCGCGTCCTAACTCAAAGTCAAGCCGCGCGGTTCACAGTGAATTTTGCTCATCGGGTACTCGTCTACCTGCATTTCTTCTCCTAGACGCGCTGGTGTGCATCATGATCGAGCGACCATACGAGCCTCGACTTCATCATCCGCTCATGATTCTCTATCCGCTGTTAGATATAGCAGAAGAGTTAATGGTTTGTGAGTATCACAAGCGCTGCTTCAACGTGCGCGGCACGCGACACGCGTCGCGTGTTAATTGCGCTTGCTGGTGATGGTGCACCGCACCCTGCAACGCGGTCGGGGCGTGTGCAGCGAAAGAATTTGGAGGGCTATTTCAGCGATTGGGTGACTCCTCACATCCATCATCACCTCTGATTCCACTGCAGCCCCTTGAACGAGCTCCGGGGTGCAAGACCAGAGCTTAAGCTCAACGCCGGTCAGTCCAACTTTGCTGCTTCGCGCATTTGTTCTGTGCACATCTATCAGCCAGCTCTCGCCCAAACTCGGACTCTCGTTGAGAGTGGAGCCGCAACGTCTATCTCTTCATGCCATCGTGGCTAACGACCACATGTCAGGCCCTTCTGCAGTTGCAGAGACCTCCGCGGAGCCGTCTACGTCCTCGTCCGTACCAGAGCCGGTACCATCCATTGCTCCTCGAGGTCTGACAGCTTCCGATCTACTAGCGCACGAGGCCGAGCTGGAAAGGCAGGCCCGGGAAGCTGTTCCTTTCTCATTCAGGTTGGGAGGGTGCACCTATGAAAAGGGGTACATTCGACAACCTGTCTGGGCCTGTAGAACCTGTGGAGGCGGCGGAGTGTGCGCCGGCTGCGGTGTGGGGTGCCATAGCGGTGAGTCGGACGTGGGTCTGCGAAGTGGGTATCATCAAGCTGACGATGGATGCATGCATGCCTATCACGTACTTGAGCAGATCATGACCTGGTAGAACTGTTCGCCAAGCGCAATTTTAGATGCGACTGCGGTACACTTTCCCTCGATCAATCCAAGCTCAAGCACTCTCACGCCCATGCGCACACGGGAGGTACTACCGTCATGCCCACAGCGTGCAATCTCCGACCATCTCATCTGGCGGTAAGGATAGAGAACGACGAGAATCAATATGGCCGGAACTTTGAGGGCAAGTTCTGTAGATGTCAAAGGGGAGAAAAGTACGATCCGCTGGAAGAGGACGAGGTGAGCAAGCAAAGTTGTGATTTTGGATGCGCATGGGAGCGCAGGTGCATCGTGCATTGAATCTCGGTCGGACCGAAGAGAGACATTCATTGTTAGAGGTCGGCTGCTACCAGGGTTATCTGACCAGATGAACGCCTCTCCCGTCCGTATAGACGATGTTCCAGTGCCTTGTGTGCGAGGACTGGTTTCACGAGTCCTGCACTAGTCTCCTGGGCAACTACAAACCGCCAGGTTCGTCCGCAGCAGCAGAGGCAGCGCTTCGACCACAGGACAGCGGCTCAATGAGCAGAGCAGCAGAGACGCAGGCTCATCCAACTCCCGTACCTGGCGCAGTCCTGACTGCAAAAGTGACGGAAGCGGCGCAGACCGTAGATCAAGCATCGGGCGCGAATGTCGACACCTGGCCACTCATAGCACACGAATCCTTCGACTTGATGATCTGTTCAGCATGCGTCAGGGCGAAAGGCAACGAAGTGCTGCGCCACTACGTAGGAACCAAGGGCTGGGGTGCTGTCATCCCGCTGCAAACTATGATTACAGGTCAATCAAAGGAAACGGACATGCTGAATGTGCTGCCCCACGATGCTCCCCAGCTCGATATTCTCGGAGGTACAAAACGAGGCTGCGCGGTGTGGGGTCTTGAGCTCAACGAAGAGGCTGTGGAGACGCAGACCGCTTCTGAAGAAGCTGTCATGGGCGCTGAGGATGCAGCTGCAAATGCGGTGACCGACACGGAGCAGACAGCGCACGTGAATTCGAGCACCCAAGTGTCCGAAGAGCGTGACCAGAAATCTGGCTCGACTACGGCAGACAGCTCCCGGAAGAGGTCCAGTTCTGCAGACTCGTCCGAACAAGGCGCATCCAGCGGAACTCGTCCAGACGATGCCAGCAACAAGCGGCCAAAGATGGAGAGCACAATCGCGGAAGCCGACCGAATGCGCGCGAACGACGCTCCAACGCTTGCCGACAAACCGACGCGGCCGTGTACTTTGCCACCACTTCGATCATGGGCTTCCGAGCGGACAGACCAATTGAAGGATGTTCGACTGGACGTGTTCCTCGCGGAGGACTTCCGGGACAACATTTGCCGCTGCGCTGAGGTGAGCGAGTTTGCACACTGATGGCATGCCCGTTTCGTCAAGGAAGTCTTCGTGAATCCTGACATCATTTCTTGCGAAACACGTTGCCTTCTCGTATCCAGTGCCTACCACGATTTTCACAACTCCCATTCTTGCTCGAGGCCGAGTCCACCTACTCACCCCCTCGATCGCCATCGCCCCAACCAGCAGATGGTGGAGATAATGACGACGCTCGGTCGGAGGGTGGCAACTCTCAAGCCTCTTCCTCTTACGATCTCGGCCTTGCAGCTCTGCGACAGTTGCCTAGGGAAAGGATGATGCAGACTCTGGAAGCCTATACGAGGCTCAGGGACGCGCTGTTTGAGCAGGTGCTCAGACCTCATCAGCTTGCTGGAACGGAAGTGGACGAGAAGAGCATCAGAGACTTCTTCGACAAGCACAGGGAGGGAGGCGGGACTTGATTCCTTGCACTAACGGTCGCACTCCCTGCATGTCCAATGTGGGCCCAGAGCGTGCTTCGCTGGGCCTTCGCTTGCCCGGCTACTAGCGCTCTTCATTCAAGCTCATCACGGGTGTTTCCATCGACGCTCAATGTCATCAATCATAAGAATGCCATTGTGGATGCGCCTGGAAGGCGATGCATCGTCTATTGGGAGTCGTCAGATGTACGTGCGGGAAGACCGAGAAAGGTGCGCAGTGCAAGATGTACACAAGAGGCGGATGCGCTTTTGATGCGGTGCAACCGGTAGAGGAGCCGCAATCTATCAGATGACGAAAAGGCGCGATGGCTACGGGTGATATAGACGAGCCGGTGGATTCAGTGGTCTACTTCTTGCCCTTGACCATGGCGCGGTCGGCGGCTTTCTTGAGGTCACCCTTGACGTCGTCCTTCTCATCGTCCGTGTCGGGTTCTCGAGCACCGCCGTAAATGAGCCAGTCGTTCAGTCTCTTTTTCCTCCTCTCGGCCTGAGCCTTCTGCTCAGCTCTCGTCAACTTGGTCTTCTTCTTCTTCTCCTTGAAGCCGAGATCGTTACCGCCGGCACCTTCGTCGCCTGATCCCGCAGGCGTAGCAGCTGCAGAGCTGGCCGGAGTGCCCGCCTTGCTGTTCAACCGAGAAGCGGCACGGCTCGATCCCTTGGGTGTCTGAGTGCCATTTCCGACAGGTGTGGCCCCACCTGGCGTCGAAGCGTCGTCACCAGCATCCTCGTCGGCGAACGCATCCACCGAGATTCCTCTCTTGGTGTGCGAGACGATCTTTCCACCTTCGACAGTGACGATTTCGTTGCAGAGTGCATCGACGAATTGCATGTTGTGAGAGATGATGACTACCGCGCCGGACCACTCTCGGATAGCGACGGACAGACCTCCGAGCGCTTCTCTGTCCAAGAAATTGGTGGGCTCGTCGAGGATCAGAATGTTGGGATTGTTCCACAGACTTGCGGCGAGCACAACTTTGACCTGGATGGTGAGAGTGATGACGAGCTCAGCTTTGTCACCGAATCACATCGTTGCCCTCTAGACGCTCACCTTTTGACCTCCGGACAGACCGCGCATCTCGTTGTGCTCAGCGATGGCCGGGTTGAGACCAACGTCCTCGAGCAGCTTCCTGACCGCAACAGAGTTGAGGTCCTTGCTACCAGCACCTTCCCTGGCAGCGACCTCATCATCGAACCGTTGCACGAGCTTTCCGAAACCAAGCTCGGTCAACCTGTCTCTAGAGACCCAGGAGTTGTCCTTGTGTTGCAGACCTCTCCATTTGATCTCGTAGTTGAAGGTACGTCTCTGCTTCTGGCGACCGACGATTCGCTCCACGATGCGGCTGACGCCTTCCTTGCTGACGATGGGCTTCTCCAACTGTTCGCGCTCCTCGTCGCTGATGCGGCGGGTAGCGAGCTCGAGAATCTCCTTGTCCATTCCTCCATCGAAACGCCACATGATGTACTCGACGGCCGTCTTCTCGAGGTGATGCTCGATGTGGTGGAAGGCGTGCTGAGCGACCATGGACACACGCAGAGAAGGGTGCGAAGTGACCGTACCACTGTCTGGAAGGTTCTCCTGAGTCATCAGCTTGATGAGGGTCGATTTTCCAGCTCCGTTGGGTCCGAGAACACCAATGCGGCTCGAAAGACTGACGGCAATGTTAGCGTTGCTCAAGCTCGGCTTTGCAGCACCAGGGTAGGTGAAGGTGGCATCCTGCACCTTGAGAATGGTACGCGTGTTGGATCGCACACCGGCAAGGGCCCCAGTAGGTGGAAAGGAGAACTTGATGCTGGTAGCAGCAAGCGAATAGTAAGACTTCGCCTCGGGCTTCTTGCCGACGAAATCGCTCAGGTTGCCCTTGTAATATTTGATCTTCTTGTTCTCGTAGTGCATAATGTCGGTGCAGACGCTGTCCAAGAAGCCGGAATCGTGACTGACGGTGAGCACAGTGACATTGGTGTTGGAGACGAGATAGTCCTGCAGCCACTTGACGGAAGCGACGTCAAGGTGATTGGTGGGCTCGTCGAGCAAGAGGATGTCAGCTCCCGTCAGCATAGCTCTAGCCAGTGCCAACTTCATCTTCCATCCACCAGACAGCGACTCGACACCGTTGTTCCTCCTCTCCTCATCGAAACCGACGTCAGCAAGGGCCTTGTGTGTGTCGTCCTTGCTCTTTCCGGCTTTCTGGACTCCAGGGTCGGAATGAACATAGTCCACAATCTTCTCGCCGGCACCATCGCCCTGATTGTGCTCCACCATGACGGTTCGGACCCCATCAGCTTCGGTAGGGAAGTTCTCCACCTTGCCGTCCCGCATAGCTTTTAGCAGGGTACTCTTACCGCTACCGTTGGTGGCCACGATACCGTATCTGTGACCTCTGTGGAGTCTGAGCTTGGTGTGGTTGAGCAAGAGCAGACCGCCGTACGCTAGAGAGAACTGGATGTTGACCAGGCATTCGCCCGAGATCTCTTCGTCATCCTCTTCAGGCGCACCAAAGCGCTCCTCATCGATCTTGATGTATTGAATTCGAAGTGTATCAGTGACAGCCTGGGCGGATTCTTGAGATGCTGTGATGCGCCGCAAGTATGGCAGCACATATGCTTCGTTCCAGGCGCTTGATGCAACCACGCGCTTGTCCGACAAGCGCGCAATCAGAGCCGCGAGATAGCGGATACCGGTCTGAGCCCACGAGTCCGCAGTTACATCTGCGTGGTCACTCGGCACGTGTCCGACTAAAGCAACATTGATTCGACCAGCAGCAGCATCCTTGGCAGCTGCAAATGCCTTCGTAGGGTCTTCTTCCTCCTTGGCCTCACCCACAGCCTTGGTAGCCTCGTCCAGAGTGCGAAGGGCACTTCCAGCGAGCTGCCTAACTTCGGGGAAGGCCGCGCCTTGTGCAATACGTTCCACGCCGGGCTTGAGAGACGGCAGGAAACGAACGGCTGTGTGCGGTTCCCTGACGAGCTTGGTCAAGTTCTCTACGATGATGCTTGCACTGCGCTGCACTGTCGAGTTCTTCTCGTTGAGGGCACGGACGAGCAAGGGGACCATAATGGCAAGGGCGGGACCAGTGACTTCAGCGACGAAGGTAGTCGAGGACAAGCGCTTGATGCACTCGGGCACAGTGTCGGGCGCTCTCATTGCCTCGACGAGCGATCCCAGGTGGGGTCTGATGTCGTTGTTGTCGATAACTCCACAGACCTTTGTGGTAGTCTTGACGGCTTGCTTGGAGACCTGAGCAGGGCCAAAGGAGGGAATTAGCAGACCGCCACGAATTGCGCGTACAGCCGAAGAATGCGACTTACCTCGCCTTTGGTGTCGCTCATGGCGTTTTTAAGGTGAGGAATGAGCTCTTCCAGCTGCTCTCCGATCTGCTCAGGGAACGCGTCTGCCAACTTGCTGATACGCTTCAATGCTCCGACTTTGGATTGCCACTTGCTCGCGCTGCTCTCGATCGTGCCATAGAGGTTTTGAAGCAGCTCCGGTGTGGCTTCAGCAGGAGCCAGAACGAGCAAACTTCCGACTGCGCTCTCAGCCGCCTTTTTGACAGAGTCAACCTTGTCAGCGTACAGCTCCAGTAGAGGCGTAAGAGATCCGAGGAACCACGGTTCGGCACCCAATGGGGTGGGGGCATTCTTGCCTCCCACCTTGACAAATAGAGCTCCCAATCCGATAGCTGCATTCTCGCGGTCTGTCGCAGATTTCTTGCTGCGCGTAGCGGTCAAGAGAGTCTCAAGAATGTTCTCGCTGTCGAGGGTGCGGAAACCGTGCTCGTTGACGTGGCTGGCTAAGGTCTCGGCTGCTTGTGCTGCACTCGAAGCATCTGGGGCCTTGAGGAGAGCATCAACGCTGGCGCTGGCTCCGGCTCCGTTGGTGGTCGCAGTGGGCGACATGCTGCGTGCGTGGGAGGGTATACACGTGAAGGAGAGGAAGTGAAAGCAGAAGGGAGCTGCTGAAGCTGCGTGAGGCGTGCTTATGATGCTTGGTAGAGTGTCAGCCGCTTGGGCAGGAGCGAATTGCTCGGAGTGTAATATGAGCAGGGGTCTGCGTGCGGCAGACCTGCTCACGTATAGCCGGCCGGACTTTTGGGTCTTTGAGTGGTGATGCAAGAGACAAGGGGACCAGAGACACAAGACCTACACTGCGAGCTGAAGAATGGCCAGATGGTGGTTGGTCTGAGTGATATCCATCGACAGGTCAAAGAAGGATGCACGCACCCCCTACTCAAAACTTGACCCCCGAGGCGAGGCATCCTGGGATCGCAAGCTCACCAAACACCGTCGCTCTCAAATTTTTGAGCACTCACGACCGCGATGCACCAACGCGCGCGCATGAGAGATTTTTTTTGGTTGCAGCGCCCTGACCGACCCAAATCGGCCTTGCATATGCAACTGCATGGAGACTGCTTGAATGCCTTCACGATAGGCTCAAGCGCCTTTGCGCGCATGATGCATGCTGCTTGTGGCCGTGCTGCTGCTGCTGCTGCAATCATCACGAAGAAGTCAGCAGCAGCGCAGAGTCAAAGCTATGGTCATGAGTTGACCTTCGCGCGGCGCACGTTCGATTTGACGGCCGGTGTATGCTGCAGCATGCATGGCGCCGCGCCCTTCTCGCGCGGCCAGCCAGAGCCGCCCATTTGAAAGCTGGGCCAGATGAGACGTGCCACGTGTTTGGCGGGCGCGCCCCTCTTAAAACAACATCGTAAATTGAAGTTGAGATTTGAGCCTATGCAAATGCCGCGCTTCACGGGTTTGTAATCGAGATTATATACAGCTTGACCTTCAAGCCGGCGTGAGCCGAATCGCCTGCTCACGCACGCGAAGCTTCACGCTCGTCGCGCTTGGCGGAAGTGACTTGGTGTAGTTGGGATGCCACGAACGACACCAAGGACCGCACAACGCGCCAGCGGTCTTCTTCCTGTCTCCACACACCTCACGCAGCACGTACTCACCACTCTGCTCTCCACCTTTCTCGAATGTGAGTATCAGTCATTGGCACCAGCAACTTGGGAGATGTATCAGGGACTGGTGCACGCATCAGATTCTAGCTTTTAGGCGAGGGTGTGACGATCTATCATTCGCGTGGGGTCAGCTAGGCAATACGCGGACACGCGGATACACCGACAGAGTCTCGGCCCTCAATCCACCCACTCTGGGCTCTCTCTCTCAGCGATGCGAGCTCAGTGCGCGCTGCTACAGGCGCACACTCTGGCCACTGTGCGACAAGGGTGGATTGGGAGAGAGTTGCGCACACTGACACGTGGATCGTATCTGGTGCCGGCTTTTCCGCTACGAAGTGACCTAATTCGTTGGCTGAAGATTGACATCACATTTCCAATACATCCCCTTTGCAGATGTCTCTTCTCTTCCGACTCGCTCTGCGTCAAGCAGCTCGCGCTGTGCCGCGATCGGCCGCCCCCGTGGCCTCGCGCAACCTCAGCATGAGCGCTTTCCTGCGTTCAAGTGCTCCTCCTATTGCGGTCGGACCAGGTGCTCAGCCGGGTGAAGTGCCCACTGATGAGAACCAATCTACCGGTCTGGAGCGTTTCGAGCTGGAGCAACGCCTGCAGGGCAAAGAGGCGTTCGACATGCAACCTCTTCAATCTGACCGCATCGGAACCATCTCTAACCCCATCTCGGTCAACAGCGCTGTGAGTCGTACATGATCTCCAGCACCGCCTAAGCGCTTCGTGAAGCAAGCGCTCACACTCTGACAATCGTGTTCCTTCTTCGCAGTTCCCTGAGCGTGTCATCGGCTGCTCGGGGAGCCCAGCTGGCTCCCACGACACTCTGTGAGCACACGCAGCACCTTGTAAACAAATCTTCACGCTGCAGGACTGACAAGCTGCCCTGCTCGCATGCCCGCAGGTACATGCGACTCACTCCCGAGCGCCAGTACCACCGCTGTGGCGAGTGCGGCTCAGGTGAGTGTGCCGAGGGCTTTGATTCGCGGTGGGGCGGTGGACCTGCGCAGGTCGAGGTTCATGCTGGTGGCTGCACTACGGAAGGAGGGCCACTTGCCGGGAGTCCGCGATGTCAAGCAACATTGATGGGTGATACACGATGAAGTGCTGCAGTTGGACGCTGCTAGGTCCAAGTCAGCTGTCCCAAAGCTCCATGGGCGCGAACAAGTGCTGATTGATCCCTTGCTGCATTCGTTCATCTCGCAGTTTACACTCTCAACTTCACTGGCTCTGCTCACGACGAGCACCACTAAGCTACGCGAGAGCGGCGATGGGCACAGACAGGGGTTCGCATGCGAGCTGGAGAGGAAGGAGCGTTCCAATCTCGAGATGTGAGCGCTTCTGTCAAATGAAAGTGGAGGCGGTCTGGAAATAGCAAAGACCGCAAAGCAAATGCTTCGAACGCTTGAGACAGCTGCCAATAGATAAGTCTCCCAGATCCACAAAGGCGGGCGGAAGGCAGAACGAGTGATTCGCACGCGGATGGATTCGACCGCGGTGAGGACGAGGCATGACGAGGATGGGCACACGAGACCGATTGCAGCGAGGCACGGGGAAATTTTTAGGACTTGGTGCACGATTAGAAGGTGACGTAAAAAGGCAGAGTGATACTGATAGAGTACAGTGTCTGTATTTGGAGAAGTCATTGAGGAACGAGTCTTGCGAGGGCGACCGTAGAATCATGCTGCGGTCTTGCGGTTCACATGCAACCACTTGGTGCTTATACCCGCACGCCCAGCGCTGCGGCCTTGTCGAGGACTTCTTGCCATTCGCGTTCCGGGTCAGAGAGGTAGGTCACCGCTCCACCCGCGCCGAGTGACATTTCTGATGCACAAAGGACGAACACGCCTCGGTCAGCTGCTGCAACACGACTAGCGGGTGTGGTTCGGGTTTCCTCACCATGTCCGTCGATGACCAGGGTACGGATGATGACGCTGAAGCATGCGGCACCATCGACGCCCATCCAGCCCAGCGCACCAGCATAAGGACCACGCGGTCGTCTGCAGAGCTCGGTTTGAGAAGAGCTAGGCGAGCTTTTCGTGGACGCTGGTCCCGATTCAGGGCGATCTCCCGGATCAGCTTCGATCTTTTCGAGAATCTGAACGCTGCGTCGTTTGGGGGCACCTGTCATAGAGCCTGGAGGGAAGCATCGGCGGACGATGTCGACTGTGTTCCTGATAGGCGATTGTTGTGAGGACAGCGGTCGGTCGATTGTACCGCGCACCACCGTGACGAGTTGATGGACACTCTCGTAGCTTTCAACCCGCATTAGAGCTGGGACGCAGACGCTGTGCGCAGAGCAAAAGGACAGCAAGTCTGCTCGAATAAGATCCACAATCTGTGTGCGGGTCAAGATTTCAGTCATGAAAAGCCTGCTGGTTTCGTTTGAATGAAATGTCCACCATCGACGCACCATCAGATTCTCCGCTCTCTCTTTGGGATCAGCTTGCAGAGCACATCGTCTCTCTGCGTCTGTTCTCTCTCGCCACGCCCGTGTCTCCACACCTTCTTCAGCCCCACCAGGACGACGTGCGGCTTCTCCCTTGCCCCAGCCTGCGCGGGGCAGGGTGCCCTTGATAGGTCGCATTTCGACATTGCCATGGCTGGACACGCGAAGAAAACACTCGGGAGACGTGGACAAAATCGCCTGACGACCACCGCTTTGTTGCAGCAGGCTGTCTGACTCTCGAGTCGGAAGGAGCATGTAAGCGGCGTACGGTGCAGGATTTCGGAGACGCAGAGCTTTGTAGAGATCGTAATGATCGTCAATGTCCACCCTGCTTGCTGGTTTAGATGGGCTTCCAATGCGACAAGATACTCGAGAGTCAGGTAATCGGCCACGAAATTGAGTGGTCAGGCACAATTCGTAGCTCTCGCCAGCTGCGACCTGTGCCCGCGCAGCGTCGACTTTCGCTGCATACAGCTTGGCGGGATCGACTGGCTTGAGATTTGCCATGGCCCGAGACAAATGCACTGGATCGGGCCCTCGATGCGAAGTCTGAACAGGATTGGCTTCCAGGTTGTCGAACGCCTGCGCGACTTCTTCGAACCAAGCATTTGCTTCTGCGTGAGTCAGGCCAAGCTTGATGGCGGCGGCAGGCGGCGAAGTAGAGGTGGAAAGCTTGCGCAGAGCTTCTTCAAGCTGTGTGAACGAAGGCTGAGATGGTATCACGCCTGCGCTATCGACCGCGATCAGGGCATTCGCCGTCCATGTCTGCGTGCGATGATCATATGAGAGGACCTTATTGCACCAGCCAAAGGAAGCGTCTGGTAAACCTCTCTTGCTCTGCAAGGAGATATGGCCATGCGAACCCCGCATTGCTTCATCCGCAGGCGGAGTGATGTGACCACCTGGACCCGATGCGAAGAGGTGGCTTTGCTCTTGAGGGAGGTCGCGTAGGGTCTCAGATTGACAAGCATCCAGTCCAAGCGATTCGGTTCCCATCTCGTAGCCCCAGTAGCCTGCCCATCCCGCCTTGAAGGTCGAACCTGCTGAAATGCAACCGATTTTCGATGCATCGGCGCCGGCGTCAGTCTGACCGACGATTTCGTGCTGAATTCCGTGTAACCAATCCCAGAACGACGGCTCCATGGTTTGTGCCTTTTCGGCCTGCAATCTACCACTTGACGGAGCTCGGCTGTTGGGAATGGCACAAGGAGCTCCAGCGCGGCTAGCAGGAATGCCCAATTTGTGTTGAGACACTCGCGCTCCACTGGGCAAAGACAAAGCACGACCATTCTTGCCTTGCAGAATAATTCGCTTCCCCTCCCTGTGATAAGTTACCGCAAAAGTGGGACATGACATGTATGACATATTCGCTGCGGGGTCGCCAGGCTGGAAGCAATAAAGGTGGCTCTAGTCTGAGAGGCGTTCGCGATGTAAAGACACGGGATGGCGTGACTCACTCTTGCGCTGTCGAACCACACAGCGCCGGCGTCGGCAGGAGGGCCATCCTCGACTGCTGGTTCGGACCGACGAAAGAGGGCTTCGAAAAGTGCCCCGGCGTGATCGCGATAATCAAGTCTCGCAGATGCATCTGACGCTGAGCTACAAATGCTTTTCTGAACAACCTTGAATCTCTTTGGATGTTCGGTGCGCGTCTGCGTAAGGGGGCGAGATGTGCAATTTGTAGTAGCGCGAGTGTCGTGAGCCAGTAGGGCATCGGGCAGCGGGCATGCTGAAAGCCAAGCGTCGATCCTATTGCTAACTCTTGATGACGTGCCATTTTGCTGCTCCCAGAACCCATGACACATGCGCAAGAAATTTGAGATGATCGTTGTGCCTGCCAAGGGTGAGGTTTCGATGCTTTCGGGGTGGAATTGCACACCCCATAGTGGTTCTGTCCGATGCTTGAGTCCCAGCAAGACGCGCTCACTTTGGGCAGACGCAATTCCCACATTCCGACCCGCATTCACTTTCTCGAGTGAGATCATCGGGAAAGAACCCTCGCGCAGAGAAGCGTTGAAGTGTGGTGTGGGCATCCGAGAGGGAGCGTCGATCGCCCAAGCCAAAGGTTGCAAGCACGACGGCAGGGCTGGGCACAGGACTGCGGCGTAAGCGGTCATTCTGCAGGACATCTCACCTGTCTGCAAGATTGACCCCTTGTCTCTACTCACAAGCCTCGTCCACTGTCAGACTGTTGTACCTGACCACCCGCTCTCCAGCGCTCACACCTTCGAAGAGGTCCATACCTGCCGCGCCTGACAGTCCGAGATCGAAGACGATCTGGGACGTGACACCATGTTTGATATTCGCAGAACGCCTGACCTTCCCTCCATACAACTGCACAATGCCTTGATGACCTAGGCAAACTCCAAGTGTAGGAATGGCCTTGCTGCTGGCTCCTTCTGTTCCCTGGGCTTCTGGAAAAAGGTGCCGCAGGAGTCGGAGGGTCTGCCCAAAATCCGCGTCTACGTCCGGACGGCCCGGACCAGGACTGACGATAATCGCATCGATATAGCTGGCTAGATGTTCATCGAATGATGATGCTTTGAGCCATGGGTGTTCGTGTGGCAGAACGAGCAATCGAGAGGTGAGCACCGAGCTGATGTGTCTTGTGCGCTTTTCTCTCTCTTCCGGGGAAAGAGCTGCAAAACAACGTGGACCAGAGTGACACTGAGTGAGTGCCGAGAGCAGCAGAGGAAGCAAGTTCAGCGTGTAAGAGTCGTGATGATCGATGACCAGAATCCGTGGGGGAATAGATGGTGCAATGCCCGAGCAAGCGCAGCCACCTGGAGTCGACATGGCGGCGCAGATTGCTGCTCCTGCGGGCAAGAGGGTCCAGCTGCTGAGCACTGACTAACAGTCGTAAGACATCAGCAGGTCGAGATTGAGACTGTGTCTTGTTTGAGGTGGCAAGATGAGAAGGTGGCAGAGAAGACGCTCATGATCTTGGCTGCGAGAAGTTGGTGCAGCTCGTGCTCGAACGGGGTGTCATGATACACGATCGGTCGGCCTGGGACTCCTATGCAGGATGTGAGTTTTGGAACTGCAAGTGAAAGACCGAGACTTTTGCTTTGCCTGATGTATGCGCGGTTTGAAGGGCGAGAGATGGGTGTGAAAACGAGTCACCAAGTCTTCGTGAATGGTGAATGGCTGAGAGTGATGCATCATGTATGCGCGAGCTTGAAGGCGCAAATAAGCTGGGAAAAGCCGAAAAAGTCAGGCCGAGGATTGAATCACGTGCCGTCTGTCTGACTTTATGCATGTTTGGAGTTTGATTTAAACGCAACATTCGAAATCATAATCGAAGTTTATACTAACGGTAAGTGTTGAATTTCAAAGTACACTACTTACAGGTGGAATTAGCCGCACCGCTCCGGATCTAGAAATCAAGTCCAAGGCGCCACTTACAAGAGGAACGAAGCGATTCTGAATCACCATTCTGATTCAAAATTCTTGATTGGCGGCATTCTCGAGTCAATTAGCAACTCCGGGCTGTTCGTCATAAAAGCCACCGACGTATGAGAAACATGCAGCGCAACAAACTCTGAATGATCCTGCATCGTGCGATCGAGCACAAGGTTTGACTGTCGAAGGTCAGCGGAACTGGCGACCATCAAATGCAACCTCTTCGACTCGAGCTCTGAGCGGACAGCCCGCCTCCCAAAGCATGCGAGATCATTGTGAGGTCGGCACACACTGAATGCGCGCACTGAATTCAGCGAACTCTCGAGGGCATGCATTCACGATTGCTTCACGCAAGTCGTGCACGAGAGCTTCGATGATTTTTGCGCACCTATCTGCGTCGATGATGCTGCCCCCCGTGCCCATCGAAGCGTCTGACATCTTCGTCTCGCCGTCTGTCCCGATCTCGTGCGTCGCGGTCTCTTTGCACCGAATGTCGCTGCCGCTCCTCTTCAGCGCTCCCGCTTCTGCTCCTCATGCGTTCTCGCCGATTCTCCTCCTCGCGCCTGTCACGACTCTCGGAGGTTTGCTTGCCTGCTCTAGCGCTGTCGCTTCTCCCTTCCTTCCTCTCCTTCTTGAAGGCTCTCTCTTCTCGGATTCGCGCCCGCTCCGCTTTGCGTCGGAGCTTCTCCAGCCTCTCGAGATCATCCGTAGCTTGAGATCTCGACCCGCTTGCAGAGCCATTGCGTGTTAGGTATCCTGCCATCGGGTCCTCTAGGTCTGGATCGCCTTCTGAAGTGAACTTCGAAGCGGATGGCATAGCCGCAGAGGCTGATATGGGCGGGGCACAGTCTGCTATTCAGCCTCGCGGATGCAATCGATGAGAAGGCCGCACACTTCCCGGCGAGCCCTGCTACGAACGAGGCGCTGATAGTTCGTGCACACCCTCACTCACTATTCAGAACGACTGGCGCAGCATTCCGACTTGGCTCAGTGCGCTCGATCTTATTCCCCTCATCATCCTTTTCGGTTGGCCCTTTGTAGTCCTTGACGTGATCCACTCGAATGATGCGATCCAGCACTTTGGCGCCATTGAGGTTGTCCACCGCCAGCACTGTACTCCTTTGGTCTTCGTACATCAAGAAGCCAAAGCCTCTCTTTGCTCCCGTCTCCTTCGCGCGTGGCAAGGATATGTCCAGGATCTCGCCGTACTGGGAGAAGATCGTGATGACATCCCCTTCGGTCAGGCCCAGCGGCAAACCTCCGACAAAGATGTATGCAGAGTCTGACAAAGAGAATCAGAGTCAGCAGTGGACGACCCTTCCCACCCAAAATTTGGAGATCACGCACCTTTGAACTCATCGTGCCAGCTTGCCCCTTCAAGCGCCAGCTTCAGCTCCTGCTCATTGATTCTTTCTGTGCTTCGTATGTTGCTGTACAGATTGGAAGAAGTGCCGCTCATCGATCAGCGAAGAAGATGAGAGGCCTAGTTGTGACTGGCTGACACCACTCACTTCATTACAATCGCGCCGAAAGCTGAGTAAGCGTGCACACACTTCTGTTGAGCTCTCCGATGCGTGAACAGTATACAGGCGCGGCGAGATGCCCACGTGTGCCTCGACTGAGCCAAATCTACAGAGCGGCGTACGACTAAGTCGGCTCAGCGAAGCACAAGTCAGGCGTGTCTGGTGGTGATGGTGGTGGTAATTGTGATGGTGATGGTGGTCGCGGCGTTACCTTAGAAGCGCACAGACTCTACGGCCATAGATGCTGCGTGCTGCGCGGAAGATGTCCATCGCGCATATATGCAGGAGCAGCATCGAGTCCGTGCGCTTCGCGCCTCTTCGCGTCGTGCATTCAAGCCGCGCTCCTGCTGCCTTACGCGTTGCTGCGTTTGCACGCGCTCCACTGATCTGACCCTTCACCACCATCCGTCGGGTGTTCGAGCAGGTGACAAGGGTGCTCCGCTCACTCTCTGACAGCGGACAACCTCCAATCTCTTGTGCTCTGCACTTCGCAAAGATCTCAGGCTCAACGCACGCTCACAAATCCCTTCGCACCATGTCCTTCAGCAAGCTGCGCAACCGCCTGTCCACTTTGGGCGCACCGAAACGCGCGAACAGCACTGCTGCACCAGCTAGCACTGCTGATACACCCAGTGCGACAGCGACAGCTCCAGCAGTGCCTCCAAAGAGTCCCAAGCCGGCAGCATCGGCCAAAGCGAACGGCTCCAAGAAGTCGAGCTCGAACAGCAAGGTGGTGGATGGCAGCGGTGTGGACTATGATCCATCTGTCAGATCTTTGCAGGGGGTGAAGCCCAACCTCAGGAGCTTGTATCCCAAGATTGAGCCATATGAGACTGGCAGACTCAAGGTGGATGATCTCCACGAGCTGTACTGGGAGCTGAGCGGAAAGAAGGATGGCTACCCCGTAGTCTTTCTGCATGGTACGTGGCAGCGGAGGGCCTGAGACCGCGGGACATCGGTGGTGCAGAAAGCTGTCGTGACTGACGGTGTGGGCGAATCGCTGGGCAGGTGGACCCGGTGGAGGCGTGTCGGGAGATGACCGAGTGAGTTGCGGGCCGGTAGTGTGATGCGTTCGATCGCAAACAGCCATCTCAAGACCATTCTGTCCTCCATCCCTTTCAACAGCGCTGGTTCGATCCAAAGCACTACCGCATCCTCACATTCGATCAGCGGGGAGCCGGCAAGAGTACTCCGTGAGCTGTGGCAGAGTCAGGCCGGCTCCACGAGATTATGCTGACGCAGCACTCTTCCTACCGCTTGCAGCTCCGCCTCCCTCGAAAACAACACCACTTGGGATCTTGTAGCCGACATCGAGAAGCTGAGGGAGTTGCACAAAGTGGACAAGTGGCATGTCTTTGGAGGTTCATGGGGTGAGTTCGGCGCCTCGGATAGTCTGCAGCTCCTGCTCACCGAGCAGGTACTCCGCTGCACGCACTCGACGCAGGTTCCACCTTGTCTCTGGCCTACGCCCAGACGCATCCAGACCGAGTCACTGCGCTCATACTGCGCGGAATCTTTACTCTAAGGAGAAGCGAGCTGGAGTTCTTCTACCAAAACGGAGCGAGCCACATCTTCCCGGAGCTGTTTGCTCCCTATCGCGAGGAGATTCCTGAAGACGAGAGGCACGATATGGTGAGTTATGGAGTCAAGCTTAGCGCGCATGGGACGATTCCGGATCAAATGTTCATCTCGCGATCTCTCTCAGATCGCCGCGTACCACAAACGTTTGACGGGAGACTCTGATGAGGCTCGCCTGTCAGCCGCCAAGAAGTGGTCATACTGGGAGCTGGGCACTAGCAAGCTTTACGTCGATGGTGAAGCGCTGAAACGCGGAGACGATGATGCGTTTGCACTGGCATTTGCACGCATAGAATGTCACTATTTCCAAAACCGGGGCTGGATCGAGGATGGTCAGCTGCTCAAGAAAGAGAATGTGGACAAGGTGAGCCGCGGCGAAGTCCGCATACATCCGCCTTTTGATTGACGCGCTCCCCCTTCCTCTCGCAGATTCGTCACATACCCACAGCCATCGTTCAGGGCCGCTTTGATGTCGTGTGCCCATGTAAGACGGCGTTTGACCTCCACGCTGTCTTCCCCGAGGCCAAGTTCCATCTCGTACCAGGTGAGTGGGGGAGCTGTACGGGCTCATTCGCGCATCGTTACTAAAGGCCCACCAATGCCCCAACCTGCAGACGCCGGACATTCCGCCAAGGAACCTGGTATTCTGCACCACCTTGTCAACTACACCGACAAATTCCGATCGGTGGGCGCTTCGAGTTGAAGTGTTGCTGAATCTTTCCGCTCGGTCCTGACCGCCGCCGCTGCAACTTCATCGATACTCTCTCGCTTTGCGGCTCATGCTCACGATATAGCTACTGGCGTCTTCCTGGTCTAGACCCTAACACTTTCGGAACACTAGCTGGTCGGAACACTCGCCAGCACCTTCGCTGGCGTAACAATTGCTGTTGCTATGATCCTCATTCGAATGACAACCTTTCGACGATCTCGTCTTAGCGATGATCCAACGGCGCTTGTCTAGGGTGCGAGCAGTGTCATGAACGGGAGCGCCATGAACCGCTCGCGGCGTTGCGTCTGACTTTGCTGCGATTCTCTCAAGTCTTGCGTTGCATTCCAGCCACCGCTCCTTGCCTTCTTCCAAGTTCGATGTCTTTCCTGATCGGTACTTAGTAGTGCTCGCATCCGCAAGGTCGCATTTTGGATTCTCCTCGACCTCGCGGCCCCCGGTTCACTCGTGGCTTTCTGTTTGGCTGACAGCTTGGGCTTGGTTGGAGGGTAGGCCCGTGTAGGCTGGTGCGCGGATGTGCCTGTTCACATCATCAGTATGCATCATCTGTCGTTACAGGTCCCTCATTGGTTCTGGCTCCGCGGGACGAGGTGCTGCACTTCGCACGCCTACATCATTGCAGAGCATACTGCACGTGTTTGAGCTCTCGAAAGTGCTCGTTGATGATTAACAAGGCGCAGGAAGGTAGGGTACGCGCTTCGCGCATACACATGGACGCAGCCTGATTGATCTTGGTGCGCCATCGTCCTTCGACGGCCACAGATAGGCAAGCTTCTGCGCAAAAGCTTGTGCTGAGTGATTTGTAGATCGGCCTTCGCTCAAAGGGCACGGAAGCTAAGGAGCAAAAAAGGAAGGGGAAGTGTGGAAGGTTTTGACTGGTCCTGCGAGAGTGCCTTCTCTACCATCCGGCAGGTGTCAAGCTCGGGCCCGGAGGCCTGGCTTTTGACGACCCATCGGGTTCGAGGTGG